CCCCAAAACCCCAAAACCCCAAAACCCCAAAACCCCAAAAAGTTAAAATAAAAGTTAATTATAATTTAAATTTCAAATTAGAGCAAGAATGAGATCCAGTGACGAAACTAAGGCAAATAGGAACAATCATAACGATCCTAGCTTAAGGCAGGTCATGAACAAGAAGTACAAGATGGATGATGGAGGTCCTCGGCATGTGGAACAAACCACACTTTTAGAACCTCATAACTTCATCCCCGGTTGGGAAGGAGGCGATGAGGAGAAGAAAGAAGTTTCTTCAACTCTTGCAGGTCTTCGTAAAACCTATGATTCTTATCACAAAAAGGTTTTACAAAGAGAGCAAGAGCTAGCTTTACTCAAGAAACAAATCGAGCAAGTTAATCAAGAAGAGCTTTATGCTGAAGGTGATGCCATCTCCATGAACGAGAAGCTTGAAGAACTGCACATTGCTTCTTCAAGTGTCAAAAAGAGACACGAAGTAGCTCAGATGGATTCTAAGATCTACTATCACATGCTTTCAAGAATGAAGAAAGATCTCATTGCAATGAAAATAAAGACTAACGAACTCGAAATCTCTATGCAGCACAAAGATAGTATATATGATAAAGAGTATGCTAAGAGCAAGAAATCTCAGGAGCAGAAGCTGCAGTCAAAATTTAAACTAAAGAACTTGCTTGAGAATGTAGATTTAGAGCAAAGCAAGATTCAAGAAAGAATCAAATCTCTCCAAATCAGTATTAAAAACAAAGAAGATGCTGTCCAAAGAAGGATGGAGAGAGTCAAGAGGCAACAAGACATCGCCGATACAGCCGCTAATGAGAACAGAGATTCCGATGAAGTCAAGATTAGAGAAAACTTCATGGCCCAAAAGCTCTGGGCAGTCTTCCTCAAGAGGAAAATGGAGAAAGAAATGTACAACTCTTCAGAAGTAGAAGATGCCTTCCAGACAATTAGAGCTGCTACTGGAATGACCGATATTCATTCAATAGTGCAGAAATTCTTGACTAGAGAACAGATTTACTCTCAGTTGCTAGTGAACGTAGCTGAAAGCGAGAGAAAGATTGACTCCCTAAAGAAAGAGAATGAAGAGCTCATGAATGAACTCAATGACTTAATGATCGACAAGGACGGAGTCAAGGTTGAAGATAAGAAGCAGAACCCAGAAATTGAACAACTATCAACTCAAATCTCTGAATTATCAAAAGAAGTTGAAGAGTGCAAAGACAGAAGTCAGAAAGTGGAAATAGTTACAGACCAAGTGTATGGATGGAGTCAGAAAGTTATTCAGAAAATGATAGAGCAATTCAATGAAAACAGGTTAAATATTTCTAACCTCGATGATCTTGAGAAGCTCAAGAAAGAAGTGAGTTTAACAGAACTTTTTGAGAAGATCTGTGATACTACTTGTGATCAGTTGGAACAACTCATAGCTGATGAGGTAAATGAAGAAGATCGATACATTACTCTGAAGGACTTCTTGAATGACTTTGCTTCTCAAGAATTTGTTCAGAAGAACATCAGAGTTCGTCCGATGTCTGCTCGTACTAATGCTGAAGACTCTCAGAAGCAAGAGTATTTGACTAATAATCCTACTAGAAATATGGGTAAATCCAAGGATGGTGGTAAAGATGACCAAAATGATATGAGAAGCATGTTATTCGAACTGGAACAACAAAGAAAAGACATCAAAGAGAAACATGTCGAAGCAAAGAGAAAGATTGAGGCCGAGGTTGAAAAGAAGAAGAAAATGTAAAATCTTCAACAATTTAACAATTTCTATACCTATGCGTGCCTCCGGGGTTTTGGGGTTTTGGGGTTTTGGGGTTTTGGGGTTTTGGGGTTTTGGGG